TGGCGCTGCGGCATGACGTGGCGTTAACGTCCGTCCGCGGCGAAGAGGGCTGTCTGGAAGTGGCCACTGACGACATCGCGGTGCAAATCGACGATCCGAGTGGGTGTGCTGTGGATGCCGCAGGGGACCCCGCCGAGGAAGGCGGTGCCAGGGAAATTTGTTTATAACTTTTGTGAGAGTGCATGGCACGGCTTTCGCTCTTTTTTTATTGTTGTTCTTGGGCACAAGAGTAAATACATATATATATATACATACATATACATATATACTTGTTTGTGGACATGTATTTATGGTGCAGGTAAAAACAGGGCCATTGCAATCACTTGCATGGCCAGACTTGTCACAACCTTCTCTGCCACTCGTACGGTGACATGGCTGTGGCGATTTCTCCCCATCTTTTTTTGTTTTTGGAAAAGACTTAACGTTTTGCGAAATCAAGCAAAAAAAAAAAAGGCAACAGCAAATAAGTTTTAGCTTGGAGCTAACAGGGACAAACAGCAAGTTGAAGGCGTGGAAAATGGTGCTTGGTTTCAATGACCGACTTGAGGCACCCAACTCCATTAACGAGTCACAGCGCTTTGGGTTTATGGTGTGCAGCATGTTTTGTGCGATCGCATCCGGTGCCGTCTACTCTTTTTCGCTTATATCGGGCAAAATGACGGATGACTACGGCTTTACCCAGAACGATATCACCACCGTTTCAACTGTGGGCATCGTTCTTGGATACTTTACGCTTCCCTTTGGATTCATCCTTGACTACATAGGGCCGAAGCCGCTTTTTGCGATTGGTATATTTGCGTACGGACTTGGCGCAGCACTGTTTGCATTGACGTTTTCGGGAAGGATTGGGGCAAGCGTGGGGAGTCTTGCTGTCATCAATGCCATCATGAACACTGGCTGTGCCATGTTTGATATGGGCCCTATCTTGTCTGTAATCAGCTGGTTTCCAGTTGACCGCGGTCTCTTGGTGGCAGCTGTGAAGTCGATGATTGGATTGGCAAGCTCTGTCATTGCGACAATTTACAACACGTATTTTTCAGGCAATCACTCCACTTTTATGTTTTTTCTTCTTGCCGTTTTTGTGGCCATTGGGTTCTGGGCGTTTATCTTCATCCAGATCCCTCCGTACCATATGACAGGCCACAGGATCAAGCATTACACCGAAGAGGAGCACGCGATAGCACGTCGTGTGGAGCACATGTATCTCATCAAGAAGGCCCCCAGACGGCGCTTTCTTATTTTGTTCGTCATTGTGTTGAGCCTTCTCATCGTGATCACGGTACAGAGCATCGTCTTTGTTTTTGTGGAGGGTGAAGTGCCATTCAAGACGAAGAACCCACCCGCAATTATCATGATTGTGCTCTGCTTTTCGTTATTCCTTGTTGTCCTGCCATTCAATTGCCTTGACAAGCCATTGAGGGGAAGCAGAAAATCCACTAGCGGCAGCAACGAACCCCTCGAGGAATCCAACAAGAAGAACGACAGCAAAGTGAACACATCTGCCGGTGACGCCAAAAATGAAATAATGGATGAGGCTTTTGAAGGAGAGGAAAGGCTTGTTTCCAATGATGACAAGAATTTTCCGCAGTACCAGACCGGCTTCTTTCACAATGTCCTTCACAGTATTCCATTGTGGTGTTTCTGGCTGAACGCTGTCATTGTGTCGGGTGGCGTGCATATTGTTATGCTCAACAGTCGCCAGCTGTTTGTGGCGATATCGGAGGACCCGTCGAGCGAGCAGCTTCCCGCCCTGTACGTTGCCCTGACGAGTGTCGGTAACGCCATTAGTCGTCTTGGTGTCAGTTTCTTTGAAGCATGGAATGCAAGCCGACCACTTGAGAAGCGAACGCCCATTACCATCACGTACTGCATCCCGTCCCTCATGATGTGCCTTTCTTGCATCTTTTTTCTCATTGTGCCAGCACGGGCGCTGATCGTACCAATGCTTCTCGGAGGATTTGCGAACGGCTCCTACGCTGCTACCCTCGTATTGACTGTCCGCACCATTTTCAGCATTGACGTTGCGAAGCATTACAACAGTATCTTTGTTTTCGATCTCATTGGTGTTATTGTCTTCAATCGTTTTATGTTTGGTGAACTTATGACGCGGAACTCCGTTCGGGCTTCGGATGGTCGGGTCCACTGCCTGGGACGTAGCAAGTGTGTGCGGACATCATTCACTGTGCTTGCGTGCCTCTGCACATTGGCTTTCACTGCAAGTCTGCTGATGCATTTTGTCTACATGCGCTTTGTACGCTCCAGGCGTGCGCATGAAGAGGCGGGACGAAATGTTCCGTTGGAGATGGCTGGGGTAACTCCCGAAGAAGTTCAGTAAGCTCCAGGAATAAAAAAAGAAAAAAGGAAAAAGAAAAATGGATACTTTTTTTTGTTGTTTGTTTAATTTATTTTGGTCCTCCTTTTTTTTTCTTTATTTTTTCTTTAGGAGCTTGTGAAAAGAATGATCGCGGGAGAGCTGGCTGCCTTAACTAATGAATGTACATCCTGATAAATGAAGGCATTCTTCATGACACTTTCAGCCGTATGAATCTTTTGGGAAGAACACGACTTTGTAGGGGCAGGGAGCCGATAGGGGCCAGATAGGATTTGATTTTTATTTTGCCATCCCGCCCTATCCCTTTTGATTCCCACCACGCGACGGTGTCTTGTGGTTGGAGGACCCCAAAGTCTGCCACTTCGCAAGTAATAATATTCAAATCCTAACTGAGGACAAAGCACCATGCTAGTGGTCCACAGAATTCTACATATTGAATGAAAAGAAAACATTGAAGCAATTAACTAACGAACCTTTTTCCTTAACTTGTTTGGTTCCATAGATAATTTCAGGATCCGGCCAGCTGCCCAGGAGATTATTCTTTGTATAAAATATTTAAATTTGTGCACTATTTTGTTATATTTTTAGTCCTCTCTTATATATTAATGTATTAACTTATTTGCCAATATGTGAATATATGCCTGTATCTATATATATATATATATATTTGTATTTGACGGTGTTTTTTTGTGTGTTGTGGCTCGCGTTGCCTGGACGTTTGGCTCGCTCTAATGCCTGGGGAGCCGCTGGGTACATACGGCGGAAATTACCAGGCACCTGCCGCCTTGGACGCCATGCAACACGTGGCGAGCGTGTGCCTCAGCGACGGTGCCCTGTACGAAGGGCCGTTGGTTGAGGGCAAACCGGAGGGACGTGGCGTGTGCGTCTTTCCGTCAGGGGTTATTTGCGCCGGGAGGTTTTCGCACGGACATTTAGACGGAAACGCGGAGGTGTTGCTTCCCACCGGTGCACTTTTTTCTGGCAGCTTCAAGAGTTCTGCGGCGCACGGCTCTGGATTGTACGTGCAGGATGGCCGTCTGACGCGTGGCAGGTGGCATGAGGGATTTATGGTGGAGCAGGCGGAGGATAACCTGGGCGGTGGAGCTCGCGCGCAACTTTTCACGCGCATTGCCTTTCTTCTGTGTGATGAGCTGCAGAAACTCACGGCGGTGACTCGAGCGCCGAACTGGCAGCATCTGTATGTCAACAGTCGCATCAGTGAGCCAAAAGTACGTCTCTGCAGGGAGTGTTCCCCGGAAAAGAACACCATGCTATCAAACAGTGAGAAGCCCGAATATTTCATTGTGAATTGCTCCTCCACGAGAATTCCGTCACGCGCAATCATTTCCCGGAGTTTTGTGGACCGAGAAGCATCACTGTCGGATACGGAGGAGTCTCTGACGGCGGCAACGACGCAGCGGCAAACGGCACATGCTGAGATACAGATGCAAGAGAAACCGGCTACAAAAAATGCACTTGCCATGGGGGCCTC